TACAATTGACCAATTAAATTTGATTGATGAGTCATATTATACATATTCTGTATAGAAATAATCTATAAGATATTCTTTATTCATAGTATCTATTAGGGAAATTAGATTAAATGCCAAAAATAACTGAACTTCGAGGGTTATTTAAACCATTTACAAAACCATTACATCGACAATGGAAATGTAAATAAAATAAAAATAAAAAAAATTATATATATTTTTTTCTATATAAATTTATAGACGTATGGCAAGAAAAGGGTAAATTTAACGAGCCAAAACTAACATTACCAAAAGCATTAAATGGTCGTCAATTAAATATAATTGATCCTTTACATGACCCAGATCCAAATGCTTTACCTGATGAATCAACACCATGGACAAGTCCAACGCGACATCCAATGTTTGAATATCTTGTACCACCATTACCACGCGAACAACATCCTCTTTTTCATCATGACCAACCCGTATTTTTATTTGATTCAAAAACAAAATTACATGCAGGTAGTTATTCATCAATATAATAAAAAAACATACATATTTTTATTATTAAGGTGTTGATCAAGCATGTTTATTGACGAAGGCAATTCCATTCTATGAATTACCTCAATCAATAAAACAAAATCTTGATAAAATTTCTATACCTAATCAAGATGATTTAATTCAATCTTATATTCGTCAATCAATTGCTTATGATGCAACAAAAGAACATTTACCACGAAAATCTACTCCATTAAAACAACATCGTTCATTTCGTATTGAATATGGAATACCACGTTCAAGACAAATGTCAATATTATTCGAAAATATTCTTCATCTTTGTGAATCTTTAGGTGGGCGATATCCAGATTTATTTAAACGTCATTTATATCGTAATACACCATTCTATACAACATATGAACGTTATGGAGAACCAATACATTTAAGAAATAAAAATAGTTATGTATTAACTAGTCATACACCATTATCACCAATTGTTAAACGTTTAAATAAATTAGAAATAAGTTCAGGAGAAAAAAATGATGAAAAATTAAGTACTCATGATCCAGATGGACATTATCTTATGAAAGGAAATGATTATCAATTTTTAAATATGTATCCAGTTTATCCAACAATTGATCTTCAACCCGAAGAACTTTATCAAGATGGTGATGAACTCGGATGGAGACAAAGAAAAACGAATGAATGTAAATATTTCTAAAAGAACAAAAAGCAGTTCGATACTTTGAACTTTTTAACAAGGCTATAAATAGGAGATAAGATGACTAAAATGACTCATCATTTACCTGTACTGCGTATATATGTTGAGTTACTATTTTTTTGTTTATGATAAACAAAGAAACAGATAGGTAATTTTCGCTGTAGGAAAAAAGAAAATTTTTTTAGACTGAAACATTTGCTTGGAGTGAAAATGATTCTTATTTATTTTTCATTTTTCTTCCATTCAGATTGACATATTTTCGTATAAAATTGCATTGATCTTTAATCTCCAAGGTATTTTTGATACACGTGTTATTAATTCAGTTAAATTTCTCAGTAAAGAAACTTATTGTTAATTTTCTTCAATTTAATGTTAGATTAGTAATAAAAGAAAGAGAGAGAATTCTTTAGTATTTTTTCTAATCAAATCTTAGAGAAAAATGTTAAGCATATATAATATCAATCAAGAGGCACGTACACATGTTTGTTTTTTTTCTCTTGAGAAATATATTACATATCTATCTTTTGATCAATAGCACATAAATGAATATGCAAATGAGTTTTCTATATATCATATTTTTGATATTATTTAGATGTTCATACAACATTTTATGTTTCGAATGATGAATTAATTCATGAATCAACTACAGATGAACGTCTTGCACGCATGGTTATGTTTGCATTTGGTTCTGCTCTTGTTCAAGCACGTCAACAATATCCTAATGGTAATTTAATTAAACCAGTTACTGTCCAATCAGTATTTCTTCTTGATGAACTTTTTCATTTTGTTGTATTTCAATTAAATACATTGAATTATAATGAAACAAATGATAATCGATATAATTATGTATGGATTGATAAAGATAATTATATGTATGATAATCGTCCATCAATGGTTATGCATAATCCTGTTTATGGTACTGAACGAAATTTACAACGATATGTTTTAGAGAAACTAAAATATAATCCAGATGTTTTTCAAAAATTTTTAGCTTTGTATTTACAAGGTATTCAAGGAAAAAAAGAATAAACCTAGTAAAATAAAATAAAAAATATAAAAATTTCTTCTTCTCTTTTTTTTTTTGGTTTTTCTTATCATTTATTTATCTATCTTTTCAGATTTATTTTGTTGTCTTTGTTGTCCCTTTTGTATTTTTTTTCCTCATTTATTCTTTACCTTCTGATAATGCAGAAATATTAAAAGAAAATTTATTAAATAATTATGAAGACGGGAACAATATGGGGAATAAGCCTCGGTGTGGGAATACCAGGTGTACTTATTTTAATTGGTATAATTGGTTTATTAATTAAATTTTGTATGAAACGTTGTCGAAAAAAAGCATGGGATGATATAAGTTCATTACCGAAACATATTGAATCCTTTGAAAATAGTTCAAATCGTAAACAACCAAAACGTCAATTATCCGAACGTGAACCTCTATATCCATCAGCGACAAATAATGTTTTAGAAGTACCAGATGGACATATAGTTATACCCATGGATGAGAATGATTTACCACCTGGACAACGTCCCAATGAACGTACAAAACAACATGAACATACACTTGTTCAAATTCAACGAGATCGTTTAAATCGTCTTAAAGAAGAAGAAACTCGTCTGAGACCAATGATACAAATTAGTGGTGAAGATGATATACAACGTGCTATTGATCAAGCACAAAAAGAATTCGATGAATCGGTATGATTTCTATTGACATTTCACTCATGATTTCTTTCTATCTTGGATGCTTTAATATTTTTCAACAAAAAAAAAAACCAAAGCTGTAAACTTATGTACTTAGTATAAATTTAAATAGAAATAGCATTTAATCTTTCATACATGCATGGCTCAAACATCTATTTTATTTTGCTACAATTACAATGTCATGTTTTTTTTATTTTCTATATCTTTGCTTTTTTAACGTTAATGCTTTCCATTGTCTTTGTGTTTTTTTTTTAATTTCTTATAGGTAGCTAATGCTTCATCAAAAATGAAACGTCGTCGAGAAATATAAGATAATCAAATAACAAAGCTCAAACTAATCAAAACTAATCACAATACAAGTCTTTTTTTCTATCATGAATGATTTGTGATCTTTCATTTTCGTACAAGTGGCACCCTTCCTTAAAATTTTGTTTTCCGATGGTTTTTGTTGATTATTTCATTTTACTGAAAGATTATCAATAGAACCTGTCTTGTCATTTCTTTTTCTTTTTTGTTTATCTGTGTATGTACGCGTAAACGCGACTGATGAAGTTATATTTTATTTCATTGTTTCGTGTATTTGATATTCTTCACTCATTATGTTCTACTTTCTTTTCTGTGTTCAAAAGTAATATTAATATATTATATGATTATTCATTTAAAAATCTTCACTGTTAAATTACAAGAGTATCTTATAGGTCCAATAAAACACTCAATTGAATAGTTGGACAAAAAACAAATGTTTTGTTTATATACAGTATCTCATTCTGGCTTTTGTAAACTTTCTTTACATTTCAGTAAGATCATTAGTACACATCATGTAGATGATATATCTGATAAGAGTATTTTTCCTAACGCTACTAACTGGCAACAATAAAGGTTAATTTATTTCATTATAATCTGGTAAGCTTTTCTTTGATGAACTCCTGCATGATGAGTTGAGCATTTTATTCCAATTCATATATAAAAAGACGAAAGTTTCATAAAAAACTGACCTTTAGCTATATATATGTAAGTTTGTCAAATTTCTAAAACAATAGTTCTTATTTTTCGAATAAACAAATTATCTATTTGTGTTGTAAACTTTCCTTTGTTCAAGGATAACAAGATTTTATATGAATTTATTATTTTCATTTAATATCAATACTACAAGACGATAAGCAAATATACAGTAGTATAATTAATGAATGATCTATAATATTAACAATATAGATAAGCTAAGTGGTGATTATAAATGATGAATAATTTGAAAAAGTAGATTTTTATGTCTTTTATCAATGAAGATATTTCACAGAAAAAAATAACTTCAAGGTTTTTATACAAAAAAAAAGAGAATGTATATTTGATTGATTGCCATTAGCGAAATAGTTATTTGTGAATGATTACGATGAGATTGATAATCATGTATACATTATATACAATATTTTCTCACTTATATTTACTATTCTCATGTATTCAATCTTAAAAATATTTGTAAGTTTAATGATCAAACATTTTGTAACATCCATATTTTGTTGTGTCAATAAATAAAATATAAATGTAAAGAGAGAAGATATTGAGCTAAGCTGTAGTGTGTCTAAGCTCTATACAACAACATCGATTAAATCCCAATGTTCTTAATCTTGTCTTGTCACTGTCTTCCTTGTTGTCATCCATACATCTTCTTTGTTAGTCTAACGAACTTTTGTACATTATCACATATCTAATTCATTACTCATTTTACTTACATACGTTTATATGAGTACGTAACATATACTATTGACAATAGTGTTTCAATGTTAAGTATAATTTGTATTCTTCTCTTCCGTCTTTATACTTTTAAAATACTCAATGACCGTATGACAATGATTCAATTCTGATATAAATATACTGAAAATAATTTATTAGATTCTACTAAAAGTTTTCGATGAATATACTTATTTTACGATTGGATGCATATGTAAAACTTGAGCAAATAAACGTCAAAATGTCATTTTGTTCTTTTTCTTATACTCTATATATAAATAGTATGATAGCAAAAACGTTTTGTGCATTTTATTATATTTCGCATTTTTTTTTTCATTCTTTTTTTCTTCTTCCTCTTCTCTATATTTAATTCCAACAAACTACGGTTCATCACTGTCGTTCACTATAGTAATGATGACTGTCCTTCTACAATACAGGTAAAATATATTTAATCATGTTTTTTTTTAAATAAACGCAACGGCATCGAAATTACATTGATCAATGGCATCATATAACTAATAATCGATAATATACAATCACGTAATAAACCTTTCCAACCAGTTAAATGAATCATGTTTGTCATACCAAGTGACGCTTTAACAGCTTCAAACCCCCGTTTAAACATTTTTTGTTCATAATCTGAAAGTGATGATGATGAAGGATTTAACAGTGCGTCAGCAAGATCTAATGCATCAGCAAATGCTGTATTAGCACCTTTTCCAGCCTGTGTAGTCATTGGATGAGCAGCATCACCAAGTAATGTAACATGAGGATTATTTGGAAATGGATTTTGTTTTAAACATAATGCTGAATACATTCGAAAAGGAGCAAGGTATGATGATGGTGAAGTACGTTCGGCTAAACGAACAAGTTCATCGTTATTAAAATGTTGACGAATTTTATCAACTAACTGAGCAGTTGAAACATTTGTTTCTTCATGATCTCCTTGTTCTGGCCATGAAAGACCCCATATCCATGATTGTCGAAAAGGTAATACAAGCATTGAATGCCCTTGTTTACCAAATATTCGTACTCCACTATCTTTTGATATTTGATGAATTTTTTTCATATCATCATATGGTTCAATAGTACCAGCACTATTAATAATACGAAGATCATTTCGTTGAAAATCTGGTATAAGTTGAGCACGAACTAATGATCTAGCTCCATCACAACCAATAAGAATTGTTCCAGATACAGATGTACCATCATCAAAATAAGCTTCAATTCCATCATCTAATATTTTATATGAAGTAAAGCGTTTATTCCATTGAACATCAATATTTGTTAATAGAGCATTTCGAAGATCTTCTCGATAAATTAATTTAAAACGATCAGGATTAGGTGCTTTGAATTCAAATAAGGTTTGAAGATATCTATTACACATTCGAAAGCCTGTTATACTAGAATATCCATTGGATTCATCAGATAAAAGTTGATCAAGTACTCGAATTTTGTCTAATGTATCAAGTCCTGTTGAATCAATACCAATACAATAACCTTGATCACGGGATTTTTCAGTTTCATCACGTTCAAATACTAATACTTTAACTGAAGATGAACTTTGTAATAATAATTGAGCTAAAGCTAAACCTCCCATTCCACCACCAATAATAAGAACAGTAGTTATTGAATCAGTAGACATTAGTAATCGTATGTATGTTTATTCGTACAAAAAAAAACAGTATTTTTATACTCTAACACGTTTGTTGTTGCTGATGAAATATATAGAGTAGAGATGATGACACTACAATCTATAAATAATGACGTAGGAAAATAAACATTGAAAATATTTATATGACCTTTGTTTCTTCTTTGAAAAGAAAGTTCTTTTAAAAACTAATGATTATTTATAAAATATGGTTAATAGAATAAGACAATTTGTTCGTTTCTTTTTTCTTTAATGTTAAAATTAGCATTTGATCGAATAGTACAAGAGTTAAATAGAGATGTCACTAATTTAGGGACATATTTTAAAAATAGCACACCTAATATAAATAACTATGAAACTAAATATATTATCATGCCCATATTTACATGCACCATGTGTATGTGTGCCCTTGTCTCTTTTATTGTTATTTGCAGAGTAGCATCTTTTATTCAATGATTCATTTTATACTGGGTATTTTTTTCTTATTTTTGTTGTACTACTGTAAAAAATAGTTCTTATCTCAAATTTTCGTTCTTCATTTATTCGATATCTGCAATCTAGTAAATATCGTTAGCGTTGATCAAACTCCAGTTATGTCTTCGTTGAAAGTTTAAACACGAATGAATACGCGAAAGAAAGAAAAATTGTACTGTTCTTTTATTTATAATCGTATGACAACGAGATTGAACAGAGGTTAAAGAAAAAGTTCATAGACTCCTTTATTTGCCTGTACTGTATACATCTATATTATACTTCTTGTGGTCTATCGGTTGGCCCGCCAGCGATAAAGTAATAGATGGACATAGAATGTGTGTATGTGTGTGCCACATATATTTTACGATCTTCATATGTATTGCGCTACTCTCCATAAGACTAAAGAGAACGAGAAATAGAAAAAAAGAAAGAAAGAGAAAAAGAAAAAAGAAAAAAAATGAGTTATTCTTCACGTATAGGCAAGTCACCAACAACATTATTTGACGAAGGAAGGAACGTGAAGAACTTATTCAGGTAAAACTGTCACATACATTTCTTTTTTTGCGGCTTTTTTTTTTCTTGCTTTCTTCAAAAAGAAAAAAGTGTTCGAATAATCAAAGATTATGCAGTAATAGGGCATGCATGCGATACAACCTTCAAAAAGAAAGTGTATTCTAAAAAAAGAGAGAAGAGACAGAAAAAAGGACAAGCTATTCCATCATTTTTATTCTATCACGAAATTATTTCTTTGCTTTTCACTCTTTATGTATTGTACATACGTGATTGATTTGTATCACTTATCAAATGACGGATCTATATTTTTGTTTAAATGATATTAACACATAACTACAAACGAAAAGTTTGAATATAATACAAGTAAGAATGAGAAGAAAAAAAGCATCGATTGATTCTTATGACTTGTAATAAAAATGTACGAGAAATGTAATGAAAAATAAACATCTAATTTTACACATATATTGCATAACGATAAAAATTATCCGGTTCTTTTTGATTTTTTGTAGATGTTCCTGAATATATTACCATACCTTTTTATTTTTCTAATATTTGTTTCAACTACTTATACACAACAATTTCAATGGATATTACTTAGCGATGGTTCAAGTATGGATACACCAGATCCACGACGTGATGCTGCACTTGGTTTTGATCAAACATTTCTTATTTTATACGGTGGTCGAACTGAAACAGGAATGCCTCTTCAAGATTGTTATTCATTCAATACTCTAACAGGTATACTATTTAAAATAATTCAGATCACATCAATTAAATACGAATTTTTAGGTCAATGGGATAAGCTTACTTTTCCAGCTCCACCATCTAGTCGTTATGGTATGGCATCGGCTAGTTCAATAAATGGTGGTTTATATATATTTGGTGGTTTTGGTTTACAAGGTTCATCACAAAATTATAATCCATATTTATCTTATGGAGCTGGTAATCAACAAGTTATAAATTATAATTATGCAACACCACCTAATTTTATGCAAAATCCAATATTAATGAATAATCCTGATTTTGTAAATAATCCAAATTATAATCCAATGAGTGGAACTGGTTATAATGGTGTTAATAATTATAATGATAATGATGATCGTATTGATGAAAATTTTTATCCAGTACAAGATGCTTGGTTTCTCAGTTACGCGTATGTATTTTATTTAATTAGTTTTACTTTTATTCAATCTTTTCGTTTTATATATATACATATTAGTACAAAAACTTGGCAACAAACTCAAACATCACAATATGCACGTGGATTTGGTTCCGCAGCTGCATCACCTTATATAAGTGGTAGTGTACCAAAAGTTGTATATAGTATGGGTAAATCACGTGACTGGATGTATTCAACGGTTGAAACTATTGGCGAAGGTACATCAGGCCTTAGTCAATCGGGTACAACTCAATCAGCAATAAGTAAAACATTTATAAATATATATTTATTTTTTTTAAAATCTATGAATATTTTTTAGTTATGTATGATTTAGCATCGTATAGTCCAGCTTATCCACATGCTCGTTATGGACATTCAACAGCATTATTAACAGATAATCATCTTTTACTTTATGGTGGTTGTTTAAGGTATGAATAAACGAAAGATTTAAATGACTTATTAATAATTTTACATTTTTCTAGTGGTTATGCAAAAGGTGGTCCATGTCCATCCAAAGATTCCTGGTTGTTATATATTGATCGTGGACATTGGGAACGATTAGGTGAATGTCCAACAACAAAAACAGGTGCTGCTATGGTTACACTTCCATCGTATAGTGCATGTGCTGCAATGGGTCAAGGATCAGTAGAAACATCAGCAAGTATGAATGCTGGAATGGATCAACCCGTAGCTGTATTATGGAGTGGTCGTGAATCTAATCCATCTTCAATTCGAGTAAATAATTTTAAATAAAACTAAAATTTCCATTTTTTTGATTATTCTATATTACAGACATATCCAAGTCCACGTGATGAAATAGCTGTATTTAGTTTAAGTCAAAAAGAATGGTTTTTAAAAAGAGCAGCTCCATCACCCGCCGTAAGTTCATAATCTACTATAATTGTACAATTATATACTATTTTTATTTCCATCTTATAGGATGGTAGTTATCCAATGCAAAGAGAAGGTTCTGCTTTTGTTGCTGGATGTTTTCAAGGTGTACCTGGTATGTATGTTTTTGGTGGACGAGCTACAGCGTATGTATATTATAATTATTATTTATTTTTACTATACATAATTTTATATAGTGATCGTCGTTTACTTCATGATCTCTGGTTCTTACAAGCATCACCACAAGATGCATTAAATGCACCTCGTACACGTGGATGTACTTATCCATTTTCATTTTATCATCTTCATGGAGTATTTCAATTTTTTACTTATGGTATCATTTTTCCATTTGGTTATATTATTGGTCGACATACCGGAAATTTACCTATCAAACGACGATTACATATGATTTTACAAGTATGAAACTATTTATTTTGAAATTTAAACTGGCATATAATCATTTTTTCTAAGATCTTTGGTGTTGCATTAGCTATATGTGGTTTTTCTTTTGGTGTACATTCTGTTCGTGCACCATCATGGCTTCATTTTCGACATGCTCATGCTATTATTGGTATTATTACATTTATATTAACAATTTTCCAATTTATTGTTGGCTTGTATGTTAAAGTTTTTCTTGTTTGATTTATTTTTGTTTAATATTTTTATTATTTGAAGAACTGGTGCTATGTTTCTCAAGAGACGTGCAGATAATAGAGAACGTCTTACTGAATCAAGTCATAAACTTAGTCAAGATGGATTCCATCAAGATACATGGGCTGGTGAAGGTGCTTGGCGTATTGTTCATCGTATTTTAGGTTCAATTGTATTAGCACTTGGATTAGTAAATATATCATTAGGTGTTTTTCTTGCTGTATTACCATTACCAGTTTGGGTTGTTTGGTATATCTATATGAGTCTTCTTGTAATTGGTCTTATTGTAATGGAAATTGTTGCACTTCGTCGTGAACGTGGATCTCCTGCAGGAGGTGCACTGAAAAGACCAGGTAAAAAAATATAAGAAAATATTTCTTTGTCTTTTTAAAGAAAGCTTAACAATTTTATCATACAATACAGAGAAAATGATCGAATATACGATCTATGAAAATAATAATCATAGTGAGTTTGATTTTTAGAAGTATTCTTTTGTGTTTAGATGTATATATATAGATATGATATTTGTTGTTTTCTTATTTTTATTTTTTTTT